GGGGAGGCCTGGGGTGGCTCTACAGGCTCCTCGGGGTGGAAGCTCTCCTTCAGGGCCTCCTGGATCCTGACAGCCCCCCAATTGACCCCCCTGGATAGCAGCCTGCAGCAAGTGCAGCTGGGTGGATGGCCGAGTGCTGTGATGTACCGAGTGTGGGCACTCAGGGCACTCCAAGACAGGACTGCTTTGCTGTCCTTCATCGAGGTAGACGAGCAAGCGGGGAACCCTGAGAACTGTCTGTCCGGGGTGGGGGTCGGGTCCCTTTAAGCACAGCCCTCGGCTAGCCTGAGGCAGCAGCTCCACACTCTAAGTCCTAACCTGATGCCCTGCCAGCCTTAACTTTGGTTCAGGGTCCACTCAATGTGGACATGCTATTTCGAATCAGCAAAACACTAATTCGAATTAGTTTTTAGGTCTAGATGTGCTAATTCGAATTAGCTTAGTTCGAATTAACTAATTTCAATTACGTTAGTTCGAATTAGTCCTGTAGTGTAGACATACCCTTAGTAACTAGCAAGTCTCTCTTTTTTTTAAGCAACCAAAAAGCAAAGGAAACAAGGAAAAAGACAAGAACCTGCACAGCACCTGTTTTGTGTTTCTGTTCTGTTTAGGTCCAGTAAAAAATAGAGACAACTGTACATGATTTTTATTTTTGAATCTTCAAAAAAGTAACAATGATTTGGACGAGTATATGTGCATATTTATTTGTTTTTCCCAAAGTTGAGTTAGTATTTTAGGAAAAATGTTTTAGTAGCCACTGGCAAGAGTTGGTGATTGTTCTCTGAGACCACCTAAAATTTGTTGTGAGAATCCTTGCTAACATCCTAGCTATGTACGGGCAGATTCAAAATAATAATTTGGGCCATTGGTGATTGGGTGGAAAAGAGTTTTGCTTTATTTCACTGGGGGACCCTTTTGGTTGTGAGCATCTTAAGAGATTATATAGGGTACCAATCAAAGTGGCTAGTCTTTTTCTGATTAGTGAGTGACAAAGTGGTTACCCTAAAGACTCAAGAGAGGGTTTTTTTTAAAATGATGTAGGCCATCTTACATGGATCTCTACTGTCTAAACTTCTGTGTACTTACTGGACTAGATTTTGCGCCCGTTACACCTGTTGAGTAGGATCTTATTCCTGGAAGAATCCCATTGAAATCAGGTGGACTCCTTACAGAATAAGGTACTACACAATGCAAATAGAGGTGACAGAATTTGCCATTGTGGAATTTGATTGATCTTAATTAACAATCCAGTTATTCCATTGAAGGATCTCTAAGCAGCTTTTTCTGAGCTTTACAAATTAAAAAGCACCGTGTTAAAGCCTATTATTAATAAGCAACTGAAACAAGGTTTGCAGTAAATTCTATCTTTTAAGGAATTACCTGATCAGATCATGAACTCTCATATAAGGCCTTAATTCTTACAGCACTTAAGCACTCACATACCCTTACTCACCAGGACTTCATAGGGACTAGTATGATAATTCATGTGAGTAAAGTTAGGACAAGCTGAAGTGCTTGTAGGATCACAGCGTTAGTCCCATGTAATTCAGTCCATTGTATATATATCTTAATTGCTCTTTCTGTTCACAGCATTTACTTTCCTTCATATGTTGCACTAGTGGCAAGTCTCATAAGCGCAACGATCGTAATGACTTGTATCCCTGCTCACACCAAACCAAAGTCAGATGGACAAGCTACACAGCAGAGTGAGTGTTTACCCTTTCTGGCAACTTTTCATAGCTATAGAAATGTAGCTAGCCCATTTTAAATGCTCAGTGCTCATCCCTCACCATTGTAAGAGAAGATTTGGCCCATGGTGCAAGCATGTATCCAATTAGAAGGTTTTTTGATAGTGTTGAATATGAAACCAGCTAATTGATATTCACTTGGGACCCATTCACTAGTTGAACTCAGATTTCCAGATACGACTTGTTCCATTATAACTTGAGGTTTGCAGATGATATAGTTATCATTGAGGAAGATGAAGAGAAGTTAGTGAGAATGGTGCAGGTGCTAAATGAGGAAGGGAAGTGGTATGGGCTGATTATGAATACAGATAAAATGAAGACAATGATATCTGGAGATAAGGAAATAGGAAGGTAGATCAGTGTAGATTGGATCGAACTAGAGAATGTAGAGAAGTTCACGTATTGGGAGCAACATGACGTATGATCTAAGAGAAGGATATTGGCATTCTAGAGGTGTTGTTATAGAAAAATTCTGAGAATAGGATGGATGCAGAAGGTTCCAACGAGGAATTATATAGGAAGATACAGCCGAAAGAGAAGCTACAGAAGGTTATACAACGGAAGTTACAGCTATTTGGGCATATCTGCAGAATGAACAACAAGCGAAAAGTTAAGACCCTGATATTCGGCATAATGCATGGTCCAACTAGGAGAGGCAGACCCCACAGAGAACGGGTAGATTGGTGCGGAGCCACTCCACCTTGGACAGGGAAAGATGGAAGGAAATAGTGAGGGAGGCATCGGACACCAACGGTCGTTGAGCCCATTGTTGTTGATTATGATGATGATGATGAACTTGGCTTCTGTAAAGTTCAGGGCATAGGTGCTGGAACTAGAGGTGTGCACGGGAGACAAGGCGGTACTATTGCACCCGCTGGCTTGAAGCGGTTTCCATTATATACAGAGTTTACAGTTTGGTTTAATGGCTCTCAGCACCCCCACTACACACACTGTTCTAGCTCCCCTAACTGCACCTTGTGATTTCTCCCTCAGAATCCTGCAAGGGTACCTACTTGTAGAGTCCTGGCTCCTCTGCTGTCTGTGGGGGAGGAGACCCATGTCTCTCTCTCCCTCCTGATCAGGGTTTTTCCAGCTTTACTTTCTCTGCCAGTCCCCTAGCATGCAGGCTCCTCAATCAGTCTGCTTTGCTGTCTCTCCAGAGGCTCTAAACTGAGTAATAGCCCACAGTCATGAGGGCACCTAAGTAAGCACTTTTATTCTTAAAACCATAAGACTCTATAGTTACAAGAGCAGAACAAGAACTCTCATGAATCTGTGAATTGCTCTTTTATACAGTTCAGGCCTGCATTTTTGGGACCCTGAAAAACAGGTAATTGACAGACAACGGGTGACTCCTGGAGGTGTAGCTTCAATAGGTTGGGTCCAGTGATGGGAATTTGCCAAGTATTTATGAGGAAACATACTCAACTGAAAGTTCATTCTTATCTGACAAATTATTTAAAGAGTCTTTTGACAATCATAACACTTCTTAGGGTATATAGGAGTTATGTTTTCCGCCTACAGATATCACAAACACTCTCACAATTATACATAAACCCTTGTGAATGCAATGAACTTCTAAGATACTTAAGTGTCATTCAGAAATTTTAACCTTAATTCAGCAAGGTTTGTCGAGGATACTTCAGGAAATTGCCATAGCTGTAACAGCTACAACCCAGTGTGTTTATAGAAGTGCTCAATTCTCCACTGACATTCACCCAGCCTCTACTACCCAATTAAACTTAAAGTTGCTCTACTTAATGCCCAAATGGTGGCATCTGGAAAATAATATGCAGCCTATGCATTCACTAGTCTGCTGTGCCTAATCACAGAAACACTCTTCTGATTTTTTAAAAAACCCACTAATTCAAAACCCAGAATAATTTCAACCATATGAATTCCAGTCCAGTAAACTCATCAGATAATGCGAAGACAAACACTGGGGGCTACAAAACCAAGGATCTTTACAGGTCAACCTGTAGCTGCACCTGGTACATAGGTGGCTCTAGCCAGATGATTATTGGCATCAAATGCCCAATGTGCAAGACCTCCATACTCAGAACTCGATGGGAATTGACTAGATGGGAATTCTGTGCATGGTGGATCAAGTGGACAGCACCTTGGTCAATAGGGAGGGTCAAGAGTGGAGTTTCAGCTCTTGTAAACCAGTGACTTCAATGGTTTAATGCTGATGTGTACCAACTGAAGATCTGGCCTGGGTTATTTTTTCTCTGGTGTCAGACCTTGTAATTTATTTTTGTGTGGTATTTTATGGCACATCGTCTTTCAGGATGGTGTTTGTGATACAAGTTGGAAAAATCTGCGTGAAGCTAAAATAAAAAAGAAAGATTTGAGAAGGGTGAGAAGACATAAATGGTTGAGACTTTCCCATTATGGGCACGTCTAGACTATAGGCTTTTGTCGACAGAAGTTTTGTTGACAGATACTGTCGACAAAGCTTCTGTCGACAAAGAGCATCTAGACTACATCCAGTTCTGTCGACAAAGCAAGTTGCTTTGTCAACATGACAGTGTAGACGCAAAGGACAGTGTAGATGCAATAACACCTTCTGTCGACAGAACTCTATTGACAAAAGGCGTTATTCCTCGTAGAATGAGGTTTACAGCCGTCAACAAAACTGCTGAGTTCTGTCAAAGTTATGTCGACAGAACTCAGCGACAGTGTAGATGCAGGTATAGTTTTGTAGACAAAAGTCCACTTTTGTCAACAAAACCCTGTAGTCTAGATACACCCTATGTGACCCATTATAAGAGCTGGTGGGAATGGAAAAAGGGCAATAGGTTTTTTAATCATATGCAGCACAGTCCTCTCCAATCAGCGCTGCCTGTCTCTAACCCATACCGCAGATGTCTGTTGGGAAGTCTGCTTTTGCTCTGCACAGCAGTGTCCACTGAGGTTAGTGGGGTACCATGCACATAGAACCAAACATAAACAGGCAATAGAGAGCCAAGCTGCAGAGACACGGGAAGAAATTTTCCCTGTGGAGAGTTAGTTGTGCGTGTAATAAGATAATGTATTGTTCATGTTTCCTGCTTCTACTCCCTGTAAATAGACTATTATTCGGTCTGTCATTTTCATAGGCACGTTGCAGTCCGGTAGTGTGTTCAATCTCAAAGAAATCCTACGCCTGCTGAAGCTTCCAGGAGTAAAGGAAGTGTTCTTAATTAAGATCCTTTCCGGACTCCCAACAGGTAATTCTCTGTAGTCATCACAGTATTTAAAATAGCAAATATAAATCTGATAGGTTTACTTTTCCTGTGTATCTGAAAGCCCTTTCTGTTTGATCACTGGTGAAGGACCATTTACTTTCCTCCTGGCCTAGGGCCCACATCTGCAGCTGAATTTATAATATATTTCCTGCCACATGGTTTTCTGTGTGACCTTGTGCAAACCATGTAATATAGCTACCTCAATTCCTCACCTGAAAAATAGGAATAAGGAGACTTTCTCTCTCCCGTCCTTTGTTTGTCTTGTCTGCTTAATCTGTCAGACTGTGTGCGGCACCTAGCACAATTGGGCATTGACCTCAGCTCGGACCTCTAGACATTGCTGTAATACAAATAAAATAACAACACATTTTTAACAACCAAAAGAGAGATTGCTGGATTAGCAGTATTTATTCATGACTGGCTACCTCCATTTATACGTACACTAGCAGATGTACCTGGCGTTGCTCGGGTCCTGAACTCAATTAATTTTTGGTTTGGGGTAAATAAAAATAAAAATGTAGGTGCTTCCTTTGAATCATTGCTCTGGGGTGAGGCTGAGGATGAGGGGTTCAGAATGACAGAGGACTACTCCTGCTCACACTCACTGTAGCAGCTTGGGGGGGGAGGCAGGTGAGAAGCATCTCTCCATGGCTGCTGAAGCTCCAGTGGGCACAGCCAGGGGAGGGATAAGTGTGACTGGTGCAGGTCCAGGGTCGTCTGCCCCCCGTGCTCCCCAGCCAGAGTGAGGAATGCAGCAAACTGCACTTTCCCCTTGCTCCCTCTTGAAGGGAACAGTCAGCAATGTTCCTGTATGAATCGAGGGTGGGGGGAGCTTCAGCCCCCTCTGCCCTCCTTAAAGAGTGCCTGGGGATGGGAGGCTCTGGGATGGGGCAGTCCCAGATAGCGAGGTGCCCCCCTCAATCAGCCTCTTTCTCTTGCCTAGTGATTCTGTCTCTTTTCTGTATGGTTTTATGAGACGCAGTCCCATTCCAGGCACATCCCTTTTTCTCGGCACAAGCAAACCCTGACTTTGTTTTAAGTTATGACAAGAGGAAGCTGCATATCAAATTTGGTGGTCCTAGCTCTTACTATTTAAGAGGAGTTCTTGAACAAACAGACAGACAGAGCGACAGACAAAGGCTACGTCTAGTCTGCAGGCTTCTTTCGGAAGAAGCTTTTCCGGAAGAGATCTTCCGGAAAAAGCTTATTTTGAAAGAGAGCACCCACCCAGCCAAAGCGCAATGAAAAAGCGATGTGCTTTTTTGAAAGATAGTGCCCACATTGATTGGACCCTATCTCGCATTTAAGTTGTGATTACTGTGGACGGAGTGGCCACCAAGGCACCTGTGCTTTTTCCTGGAGGCCTCTTCTTTTGAGAAAACACTCTCTTCCATGTGCACACATGCCTTTGTCCGAAAAAGGCTTCTTCCTTATCGAATGAGGTTTACCGCCATCAGAAAAACCCCTCTGTTCTTTCGACTTTCTGCCGAAAGAACGCAATAGCAGTGTGGACGTCGATATAGGGGAGCTGACAGCTTGGCTTCTCCTGCTATGTGACCATGCTGCTTATTAATGAATACTCCCTCTTTTCACTGAATGGTAAAACCCTTTCTCCTCCCATATGTTGGGTCAGGAAGCTGTAGGGTCTGCTGTGTGTGTGTACAAAGAATCTGCTCATCCTACTGCTTATGACATAAGGAGAGGGTCAGAATCTAATGCAGTGGTCACACTTTTTTGTAAGGGACTGGGCCCTGAACTCAGGAAGGGATGAACTCAGTAATCCGCGTGCCTTTTTCACATGGAGAGTCTCGAGGGCTCTTTTAACTACGTGTGCAGATGATCAGTGTCACCCTCTGGACCGCGCCGTTTCAAGGCTTTACTTCTGGGTGCTTAACAATATTGGGGAAGTGCCAGCTTACAGACACAGAACTTGTATTAGGTCAGGGGTGGGAATAATTTTTGAAGGGGGACCACTTCATGAATTTCAGAAGTGGTCACGGGCTGCCTGATAAGGGGTGGGGCCTCGGGCAGAAGGGGCAAGGCCAGAAGTCTTCACATGCTCCTCCACTCACAGACCCTGATTGGCCTTGGGGCATGGGAGTACATGAAGTATTTGCCCTTTGCCCTACCTGGAGTGCGTGGCATCTAGAGAGAACCGCCAGCTGTTTTCAATAGCTGGCGATTCCCTCTGGTGCTGTGTGCCCCAGTCAGGGGGAGGAAACTTCCTGCACCCCAGTCCCCAGGTCTCTATTGACCTGAGGGTGGGAGAGCGGCAGAGCAGCTGCGGATCTGAGTAGGGCACTATGTAAAATTCTAACGTTTAGGGGGAAATGTCATGGGAATGTTTAACAACCCTGAATGGCCAGGGCCTCATTATAAGTTTCATCTGAAAGACTGTCCTTCCAGAAACACAGTGCCACACTGGGAAAGTATCTGGTTGACAAAGAAGAGCTCCACCTATTAAATCTCTAGCAGCACCTGACTTTACTTTTCAGGTCTGGCATCAAGTTATTGGCCACATGATTACAGCCTGAGGTGATTTGGCTGTGTTCCACTTATTTGCACCTCGCTGCTTGAGGCTAAACTCCAAATGAATGTTCTCATTTACTTTCATCTCACTACTGCAAACATATAATTATATTAGTTAATTTATCTAAATTACAGACCTGTTTCTATTTATATTGTATGAGTTTATAATGTATATAGAGGCAAGTTGACAGTGGTTACTCATTAAAATTAACTTGCGTGCAATAATGAGTACCTTCCTAAGTGAGGTAACTTCAATCAGGGTGGTGATGGAAAGATGGGCTGATGTTGTCTGGGTACCTCTAATAATGGGAGTATCAGTTTAAGACCAAGGTGTAGGGTATTTTACTACATGACAGTGCTTCTTTTCAACTTAGGCAGGAAAAAATGCCCCATTAAAATATAGTAAAAGAGAGAGAGAAAGCAAAACAAACCAAATATCAAATATTAAAAAATGCCTTAGGGCCCAGATTTTCGAAGATATTTTGTTGCCTAAGGACGCAGCTAGGCTCTGGTGGGATTTTGAAATTGGTACTTCATCAGTTCTGAAAATCCCACTGTTTGCCAGTCTACATGTTTAGGCGCCTAAATACCTTTGAAAATTTAGCTCTAAGTAAGAGTCTAAATCACATTTCCAAAATGCACTTAGTAAAACTTAGAGCAAAATTTTTAAAAGCGACTAGGGGGTTTTGGTGCTTCTGTTCTTGTTCCCCCAATTTGAGGCCCTCGAGAAGGGTCTGATTTTCAGAGGGTGGGTGCTCAGCACTTTCTGAAATCCAGGTCCCTTTAATGTGTGTAAAATTAAGAACCCCAAATAATATGTCTCATAGGTCTAATTCTCACTGAAAGTTAGTGGGGACTTATTTCATAAGTGCCCAAAAACCATTTGAATATGATATGTGGGAACCTAAGTCACTTAGCTGCTTTTTAATGTGTTAGTCCAAATTTCCCTGTTTTTATTGAGTCTCCCAAGCCACGTATACCTTTTTCCACTGTGCAAGGCTCATCACTTGTCCTTCTTATTGGAGATTTTCAAAAGAGGTCACAGACAGATTTTCAAGGACTCTTTACTTCAGATTTTCAAAGCAGTTAAGCTCCCATTTAGGCATGTTAAGAAAGGTCCTTTTTTTAAGTTTTAAAAAATTTCTTCTGGAAGTCTGGCCCTGACTGTGAGTGCTCAGCTTCTCTGAATATTCTACAGTGAATTCAACTCTCTCCCCGCTCATTATTCTAACCAATAGTTGTTCAGTGCACTGTCTAGCTTTACATTGCAAACACATAAGGCGAACAGTAGATGGAACTTCAGCAGCCATCTTAATTCTGTTGGTCAGCCAAGACAGTTTCCCAGAAAAAGTTTTGAATTGATGGAGTGAATAGATCAGATATTCATTTTGAACAAATTGGTATAGTTCCGCTGATTTTCACCCACTGAGGGACTAGTCTAATATGTCTTACAATACACTTTGGGCCAACTAGCCTTTAGTTAACATTTTGCTTTTGTGGTTTTCCATTGAAAAATATATGTACTTGTCTAAATGCATCTAACGCTACAAAGAAAAAATAATCTACTTGTATGCTTGTACCGGGTGGGCAGAGGGAACACCTAGGTGAGTGTACAACATTATTGACTGGGAATTATAATCCCCAGCATCACAGAAAATGGGAACAAAATCGTTCTGCTGCAGCTGCATTAGTGAGTCATTTGCCAGTAAATTGTTTTCCCATCCTCAGACATCCTTTGCTGGACTTTTGTTTTCTGGCAAATATCTACTTAATATGTTAGACCTTACCTTGAACAGGCATTTCCTGTTTGTAATGTATTGCATTAGCACATTTGAGATTTACAAGTACATTATGGGGTAGTTTGGAAGTTTTTATTATCTTATACCATACAAAATTTTAGCATGTGTGTGTGTGAGAGAGAAATACAGTAATTGAAAAGCATGCCCCATGTGGGCAGAGAGCATCCATACTGCTTGACTGCCTCTGTGTGTTGACAACAGTGGAGATGCATGAGAGACAGAAACTCCACATGCAGTGAAGTTATTCACTCTGTGTACAGTGAAACTACTGTATTTGATCTCCTGTCCTTAGACTGTTGTTGAGACTCCAAACCCAGTGATGGAAATCTGAAGTTAGGAGAAAGGAATGAGGAACTATCCCCTGGTTATACTCTTGCCTGAACTTTTTTTTCGTTCTTGTGCTATCCTAAAAGTTAGCATGGCTGGCCTAATAAAACCATGCAAAGCGCTTCTATTAATGAGCAGGATTGTATCTAACTTCCTCCTTGTTACATTTTTAAAGGTAATCGTTGAAATTATGAAAGTTTAAAAAAAAAAAACCCAACTGCATCTCTGCATTCAGTGTTAATGCAGAGCAACTCCCCTGTCTTTACATCAAGCAGGGCGTGACCCTTCACTTGCACTGGAAATATATTCCCATACCCCTGAAAGATATTTTCTTTTTAATACATTCTGTAGGTTTTTTCCTGATTATGTTTTCCATCATCTCTATGAATTTCTTTGGGCTGGAGGCAGCACACACTGGATATCTGATGGCATATTTTGGTGTCCTTCAAATGGTAAGTGAATGTGACAGTATAATCAGACGCCCTCCTGAGCAACGAAAGTTATAGTGACCTAAGCGCTGTCCATACAGGTGCTGAGATGGTGGGAAATGCTTTCCTGCCAACATGGCATCTGCCTCTTGTGGAGGTAGAGTACCATCTTCTAGCGTATATAACCCACAGGTTATGCAAGGTTTTACAATCCCCCCCAACCCTCCCCACGGGCTACACTCGTCTGCATGTTATACAAGTTTTTTTTACTGAAATTACAGGAAGACAAGACTGACTCTTAATTGATAAAAGCAGCATATTTTAATTTAATAATAGCGGCAGTAATGTTTGGTTTCAAGCCCGGGTGATTCATTTCTTTATGTACAAAAGTTTTAAAATCATCCATTTTCTTCTCCCATTCGTAGGGAAGCCGTTAGCCAACAGATGTCTGTGCGCGAACTGACAGATTGTTTCTCTGCATAAATTTGTACACCCAATTTCCCGAGCCCCCATTAAAATAATAGATTTTCTGTTCCATAGCCATAAGGTGAGCCTTGAGCTGAATGGCTACTATTGACACCGCCCGTTTGTTGTCTCTCTGTGCACGAATCCAGTGTCATCATCTGTGGTTCATTAATACTTCATTACAAATGCTGTTCATTAACAGTACCTGTGGTTCATCTCTCACGGGCTATACATGTGCACAGGTTATCTGAGACTTTTTTTACAGAATTAGGAAAAACCACGGGTTATGCATGGGTGCAGGTAATACATGTGCGTGGGTTATATACGCTAATTTACGGTAAATATGCTGACAGGAGATCACTTTCCTATTGGCATAAAGCATCAATGGTGCAGCTGCATGACTATATTGCTTCTGGTGTGGGCAAGGGAGCTGAGAGACTTGCTAGGCCGCTGGGCAAAGTGCAGGAGGCCAGATTCGTGCTCCTGAAAGGGGCACGGTCTCAGGTGGAAAGGGCAAGTCTAGGGCAGCCCGTCCTCAGCGCTCCCTGGAGTGTATTGCAGTGCCCTCTCCCATCCTGTCCTGAGAGCCATGCGGAGTGCACCACATTGTGCTCCGGTGGTGATTTAAAGGGCTCAGGGCTCTGGCCACCACCATTTCTGTGGTAGCAGTGGTGGTCAGGAGCTCTAGACTCTTTTGAATCTCCTAGTCCCAGGGCAACTGTCTCCTTTGCCCCCTTCTTGCCTGTCAACGGGCCTGAGTATAGGCTAGCCCGAAGGCCCACGGCACATAGCAGAAAGACTTTGCCAAGACCTAGGAGAGTTCTAGGCAGCTGATCTACCAGGTGAGCTGAAGGAAGGGCCACCTACTTCCTAGCTAATATCTAATCGTGCACTTCATCACCCTCCCTGCTGCAGTTAAAGCAGATTGCTTCAGGTAGAGGATCACCATTACAGGCATTTTGGGTAATCCCCGTGAAATGTAATTCTTGCCTGTGGAGAGCACTGACTAGATCATTTGTCTGGAACCTAGAAAATAATTATAAATAAGCGTTTCTTCTGTGCTTTAGGATAGTTGTTGAGAATGGAGTGTCTCTGGAAAACCCTCTCCCATTTGACTACTATTGTCACTGAGTTTTAAGCCATGAGCAGAGTACAGTGCTGAATTGACATGTTGTCCTAGCTTTTTGCACAGCAAAAGTGTAGCTCTTGCTCTAAAATCAACCAGCCACATCCTTAGCTGGTAAGTAAATGGAGCTATCCCAATTTCTAACAGAGCTCTGCCAGCTCACACTGGTGGATAATTGGGTCCAGCATTTTTATAGGTACCTTGAAGACTGAGAAAGGAATGATATCCACTCTGAGGCCATCTCTACACTAGGAAGCTATTTCAAAATTAGTAAATTCGACTTAATATCTCCCGAATTAACAAATTCCAACTAGTGTGTCCACACTACAGGGAAGCCTTGAAATTAGTCTTAGGCGGGCTCTCTTAATGTGAATATGCTATCTTAGACTCAGAGCTCCAGGAAGCACTGGGGAGTACTTAGTTCAAATTACTCTGGGAAGTAATTATTTTGAAATAGTGGCACTGGAGTGCCCCCGCTGCCATAATTTCAAAATAACTATTTCAGAATTAGCGTCACTCCTGATGAAAAGCAGGAGTACAGATTTCAAATTCTATGTCCTGTGTTTCACAATAACAGGCTTGGTAGTGTGGATGCTCTGCTTATAAATTTGACTGGGGGTGGGGAGGTATTATTTCAAAATAAAGTCCTAGTGGAGACCAGGGTTGACAGACTGTTATAAAAACTGTAATGAAGGAGAAACATAGCCAGGAGGTGAGGAGAATGGGCAACTGGGATGATTCAGATACGATAGTTGAGAAAGGGGACAAAATCAAATGATGCTGTACCAATGTTTTCTCAGAAAAGAGTAAGATATGTAAACACCTGGGCTACGTCTACACTGGCCCCTTTTCCGGAAGGGGCATGTAAATTTCACCAGTCGTCGTAGGGAAATCCGCGGGGGATTTAAATATCCCCCGCGGCATTTAAATAAAAATGTCCGCCGCTTTTTTCCGGCTTTTAAAAAAGCCGGAAAAGAGCGTCTACACTGGCCCCGATCCTCCGGAAAAAGTGCCCTTTTCCGGAGGGTCTTATTCCTACTTTGAATAAGCCGGAAAAAAGCGGCGGACATTTTTATTTAAATGCCGCGGGGGATATTTAAATCCCCCGCGGATTTCCCTACGACGACTGGTGAAATTTACATGCCCCTTCCGGAAAAGGGGCCAGTGTAGACGTAGCCCTGCAGAAATATCAAAAGTTGGTTTATAGGTAAAAATGAAAGCTAAGTTCTAACCCCGAATTACATTGAACTGGGGCTTAGGAAATCCAAATTCAAATCCTGGCTCTGCCACAGAGTTTATTTAAGACTTTGGACAAGTCACTTAATTGCTCTGTGCCTCGGTTTCCCCATCTATAAAACGCTGATAGTGTAAAATAGCAACAATACTTCTTTTGTCCATTTAGATTGCAAGCCTTTGGCAGGGAGACTGTCTATCACTGTGTGTCTGTATGGGTCTTATGATAATTGGGCTTCAGTTAGCCTGAGGTCTTTAGGTGCCACTGTATTTCTAATATTAATAATAATTGGATTTCTATGCTAACCAAGGACCTGATTCTGCAAACAGTTACTACTGACGTAGAATTATACCAAAGCCAATAAGACAATGTCTGTTAATAAACTCTGTACCCAATGTTTAATCAGAATGTTGAAAATTCTTTTTCCATCCATGAAATTGAACTAGACTGCTTCATTGAATGTATCCTAGTATGCATCATGCTGTACATCACAAATAACTAGGGGGGTTTGTGGGCTGTAGTGAGACTTTAGTTTTTTGTGATGCCCCATTGTAGAATATTGCCACTGAGCCAAAGGCGAAAGGAAAATTTGCTAGGGAAGAAAAAAAGAAGAAAACTGATGATTTCCCATCTCCACTCACCAGCCATATTATTAAGAGAATCCTGTTCACAAATCTAGGGACAACTCAAGTCCCTAGATTTTTTTAAAATTTTATAGCTCACTTTCACAAGTTTTAGGTAAACAGGATCAAATCTTGAGCTGACACAAATCTGTGTAGTTCCACCACCTGAGAATCAGGCCTTAAAGATGCTGAAACTTTGCAAGAATGGTGTTTTCAGTAAAACAGTCTAAAGGCATCTGATGTAGATGGTGGCCATAATGAGTTAATTTTTAAATTATTTTCTACTGAGATTATTGCAGGTGAGCCAAGTCTGTCCAGTAGAGCCCATTTGTTTACCTACATCTTTCTTTAGATTGGTATTTCAGATATATTTGTTTCTGTGGTATAGCGTTGTTTGATACTGAAGGTGTTTGTGTATGGTTTGGGTGCAAGAGAATTCCGCCTTTCTAAATGAATGAATGCTGATAAACAACTGCTGAATGGACTCCCTGCTTCACTAAGTAAATTAAAGCCTTATTCATAACAAATTTTCAATGAACCACATCAGTTTGATCCTCAGCTACAGATTAGATTTTCTGTTCCTTTATTTTTTCTCTACAAAATGTCTGTCTAACGTGCTGTGAGGAGATCTGCAGGTTATAGATGATGCAGGAGACTCCTTTTTATCCATGTGCAGGATATGTGGAGCTGTGCTTTTGTCACCTTCAGGGGATAGGGTAGAAAGGTAGCTGCTGGCATCACAGAAATGAATGGTGGTGTTTGGAGGGGAAATCAAGCAGTGTTTACTTTAAATCTCTCTGTGTATATTCAAAACAAAGTAGTTTAGTTATAAGTAAAGCCAAACACACACCCTCATTGTGTTTCAGAAACAATAAAGCAGCTGGTCTGCTGGGAAGAGAAAAGTGTTTGTTGTCTGCTTGTGTTCTGAGCACGCATTCCATACACGCAAGGGGTAGAGAAGAGTGGAGTGCAGCTTTACAGGAGGGAAGCAAGTGACGGTACGGCCCTTCTCTACCCACCGGCTCCCGAAATGCATTACCAATGCTTGCAATTTTATAGTGAGCCTCATGATACCTGAGGTCTCTCTTAAAGCCCCATCTCCTGGAGTCATGTGATTGCAGGGGGCTCTCAGGGTGGTTGTTTTGGTTTGTAAAAGTATTTTCTGGCTTTCTTGGCTGCAGTGAAAACATGATCCATTAAAATCTGTTAGGCAAATAAAAAGAATTATATATTTAATATTAAACTTGTGGTTTTTAAGCAAATCGCAAGACTTTGGAGGTCTGACCCCTGGTTTGTGAATCCTTGTGGTTGGCAATGCCAGCATTTTTCTCACACAAGAAATAATGGTTCTGCCTCCCCTAACCTCCCCAGGGAATAATGGTTATTGCCCTGAATCCTTTCAAAAACTGATAGGGTCCACCTCCTTTCCCTTCCCCAAGGTGGTATGCGCCAACTGTTGACTCTGGGTTTTTTCAACCATTTTCCCTGTTGTTAGCCTGCAGCATAAACGAGAAGGGGAGGCATAAATAAATACCCACTCTTGGCTTCACTCATCTGGTTCAAGCACTGGTGGAAA